ATTACTCTGGTTTCTACCAGAAAAAGTATAATGATACTGGAACGTGTTAAAATAAGCATTTATGGATATTTTGAGAGAAGTGAGTCCTTTCATACATAAGGGTGCCATTCCCGAAAGCCTCCAGTTAGCAGGTACCTTAAGATTTCTGGCTGTTGGTGGGTTTAAATATAAGTGTTGATCGCACAACAATGTGTAAAATATTGTGGAGAGTAATGAAAGTCCTGGAAGACAAAGTATGTGCAAGCTGTGGACAGCTGCAGACCAGGATCCAGCCATGATTCTTTTATTTGGCATATGAGTTCAGCTAGGCAGCATTTACAAAAGAGGAAATGTTGCATACCATAGTTGGCTTCTAGGAGACAGTGGTTACGCTTTAGAAACATTTTTTTGACGCCGTTAAATATTACTTCAGTGTTCTTTTTCAACTAGTACGTGCTCAACAGTACGATCTCATTTCGTTTTCAATCCACAAGGCTATATGTGCTCGAATTATATTCCCAATATTTTTTTTTTGGGAATTCGGAATGGAGCACACCAAATTTGGGAAAATGTTTCACATTCGAGCAAACTCGAAATGCAGCACATGGGCGAATATTCAAATTTTTCGTTTGTTTTGTGATCAGAATATTTTTGGCTTATAATAATTTTTAAAAAATTCAAATACGTGCACTTTATGTTAAAAAGTTTTGGAAAAATGGGCCGCGCTCATACAAAAATTGATTTCTGAAGGAAAGGCTTACAAATTTATACAAGATGTGGTTGGCTGCGAAAATGATCTCTAACGCCATAAAATAGTCTCCCAAACAAGAAACGAGTGGGCGAAAGAGAAATATTTCTCTCAATTTGATGAAAAAAGGATCTTAAGTCCATCATCTGCTACGGATTTGAAACAAAAATTTAACATTGAGTTCATGCATGTACAATCAGGAGACTCTTGCTGCGTCACTATTTGTTTGCTAGATCTCCCAAAAAATTATCTGTACTTAAAAAAATACATACTATCAAAAGATAACAATTTGCGAAAGAGCACCTAGATTGGCCTCATTTTATGGTCTGACGAGACCAAAGTGGTTTATAATTTAATTTAAAGAGACCAAAGCGTCTAATAAATAACTGAAAAAAAAAATTAAAATTCTTTTGTTTATAAATCAAGAACACCAAAATTGTATGTTCAATATAATAACTGCTATTATAATGCACGCTACTATATATATATATATATATATATATATATATATGTATATATATATATATATATGTATATATATATATATATATATATATATATATATATATATATATATATATATATATTTTTTTTTTTTGTCATTTTGTGAATGTTTTTTATGTTCGAAAATGTTCTGGATTGGTCAAGGTAGATATTTAGGGTACCCGCATAGGCGAATTGGGAACATGATATGTCATAATTGTTAACAAGGCGAATAATTATTAATTCGTCTTAATATATCAAATTTGAAGCGAATTTCATTCCACCAATCAGAACAATGTCTTTTTGAAAGAAAATATTGTTTATATTTTGATTAAATTGTATAATTTTGTTTAAATCCTGAAGTTATGATTTAAAAATACATTTAAGGATGCAAAAAGCGTTTGAAATACTATTAAAAATATTGGACGATACTAATTTTTGCAGATATCTAGAGATGGACTAATGCTGAATATGAGTTTCGAGGTATTTTTTACCCTCTCGGAACTAATCTTTGTGAGAATCAAAAGTGTGAAATAATAACTAAATCATATGTATAAATGATGATTGTTTCTTATGGTTTCAGGTCTTATAGTAAGCAAAACTTCGAAATCGTCATCCAGAACCCCTATTGAAATCACTACAGAGCATTTGGAGTCTTTAACTTTTCAATGGACGTAGGACAAGTTGGCTCCTATCTTTTTTACAGGGACCGTAACGGTTATAAGTTATATCAATCCAGGTATAAAATAACTATTATGTGGCTTAAATAAAATAATCCATTTTAATTATTTATTTATTAACGGAAAAAATAAGCTTCATTACGTAAAAACAATTTTATTTCCTGACGGAAAAAATAAAACTCCCGAAAAGAGTTTTATTTTCGGACGGAAAAAATAAAAATCCCAAAAAGACTTTTATTTTTGACGGTAAAAATAAAAATCTCAAAAAGACTTTTATTTTTAACGGAAAAATCATTTTTAACTGTTAAAAATCAACGTTTATTTTTTCCGTTGAAAAATAATTCTCCACATGGCAATTGAGAGCGTTTTCTCAAGATCGCCCAATATCCTTAATGGGATCGTCGATACGAATATATTGGTATATGACACTATAGGTGTCCCATATCTCTAACATGAAGATTTTTTTGTTCGCATTTTCAAAAATAACGGTTATTTTCGGTCCCTACTTTTTTTATGTTGTTTAAATTTCTTCTCCTGAAATTCAAGAATCAGTGCTACGAAATATTGGTCCTAGAACTCATTTTAGTCATATCTGTGTGCCCGTCAATCTGTACTTTATTTTGTGATCAAAAAGTTATGAACCAACACCATAATATCTTGTATGTTCGTTCTCTTCTGGCCAAAGGCAAAATCAATAGTTTTGGTTATTATATTATGAAATGGACCAAAAACTTCATTTCATTTTCTAGTGGCTATGGAGGTCACAGTAGTATGATACAATTTCCGCACATTTTAAGTCCAATGTCGATTCCATGGTCTTCTTAAAAAAAATCTCATCTCAATGACCTACCGATATGCCTTTCATTGTTTGTCTTTTTGTTCTTCATTTCCAAATATACTTAAAATTGTTATTTAGAAAAGGCAAGGTTTATTGATAAGGCTAACCGGCAGGCGAATTCATGGCTTAGTCTTCTCTTGCTGTCAACATTTTAAGCGCGAAATACCAACCAGAACAGGATAAAAATTCATTTTGACGTTAAACTTAAGTTTTCTCAATGATTTCGCTTACTGGCCGACCCTATATAGGCCTTGGAATAAACCTTGATTAAAGGTTTTGAAAAAAAAACAACAACAACAAATTCCAATGACATATTATGTTAGCATCAGCTGGCTTAATATACCTTGGGATTGGTATTTCAAATTACTGACACTACAAACAAAATACACAAAACGAATTTCCAGAAAATTGCCAGTACGAGCAATTTTTTTCCATTTCTATTCCCCTTGCCCCTCTCTTCCGCAAAAAAAGACTTGTCGCAAGTAAACTCGCCTAATCTAAATTGGGACTAACTTCGTCAAATTCTCATATTTGAATATTGTTATATTTATTTTTGTTTATTGCAGTTGTAAGATTCGATCACACACGTATACAAGGGTTCATCGGCAGTAGCAGTACGGCTGTATAGAGTGTGGGGGCCATTACGAATACCACTTCAAATGCTGTCATGCATGCCCTATGGTGTATGGGACCCTTTAAGTGTTATTTTCAATTCAAGCTACAATTCACCATTGCATTTTCTCAATAGTAGAAGTATGTTTGTGTATAGAACATTTTTTTTGTTAAATATATAATATTCTTTAAGAACACTTTTCAACACACAAAAAACTAAAACTATCTAGAAATATATATAATGCGATAAGGCAACATAGCCATAATACCGTTATCATCAAATTTATTCATTTGCTGTCATTTGCGAATATCAAATTTTCGACTTTGTCATTTAAAATTACAGCAAAATGCATAGAAAGTATATGAAATATTATTACATTGCATTACAGTTTCAAATGAACTTAACACGTATCTTCTAATTTTTTTTAAACGAAACAAACATATTCTCACTTAGTAGATTTCAGTGACAATGCACTTTCAATATTAATACCAAGGTAGCCTACAAAGTCTACACTACATTTAAGTATCGTAATAAATACTCCTCCTTACAACATTTCAACTGTCTCAAGTCTGAAAAAAATTAAGCACTTTTTGAATAAAACCCATGTTAAGCTATCTGTAATATGGAAGACATGAGTATTATTTACAATCATCGTTGATACATAAGTAAATATAACAGTAAAAGCCTTATTAACCATGTTAATAATGCGTTATTCATTTAACATTTATATCAGGTACATTTTAGTTTATTTGCATTTCGTATTAGACAAAGTGATTGTCATTGTGTTAAAAATAAGTAAGCAAAAGAATGACAAAATTACAAAAAGCAACATAAAACAATGAAAACCAGAAAAAAAAACTCTCACCTTCGCTATTTGAAGAATCCATGCTTCGTCCCCTTCCTTTTTTAATATGACGATTATTAATGTGTGGTAAAGTTAAAGTAAATAATAATAATAAAAATTAAAACAAGAATGACAAAATTAAATTAACCAAACCTTATACAACTTAATGAATAGATATAAAATTAGTCAAAGTAAACGTTCAATGCTTCTTTCCGTAATATTGCAAAACAAAGACACTGACACTAACAAACGAATTGCAATTTTTATTTGATACGCTAAATATATAGTATTAACCATAAACCAAATTAAAATTATTGTTAGGAAGCTGTAACCAATTTCAATTTAATAGTTAACTTTATGAATATACCTCAAATTAAGGGAAACAAACTAGATAGGATATTTTCAATCAATCAGTACACTTTGTCATTTTTGTCTCAATTTAGAATTTTTAAAGTAAAAGTAGAGTCGTTGTATCAATTAAAAGAATTATTTGCAAAATGAAATGTGAGCATCCACATGTCCAAAACGATGCAATCGTTAACATTATTTTTGTAAACAATTCTGTATGCTTTAGTTATAAATTATGGACTAAATATTCAACATGTTGATAGAAATAACAGTTGATGATGGGATTTCGACTGTAACAAAGAAATATGTTTGTCGCGTGGAGATATTTACAAATACTATACATAAACAAACGAACACATGTTTTGATAACTCAAACTTTTCTATGCCTTAGACAAGAGAGAAAAATCATTCACAGAAATAAAATATACTATCCATGTATATCTATTCTATATATATATTATACTTACCAGAACTATCATTTCCATTTTCTGGACTGCCGCTGGAATACATTGTTGCCAATTTGCCATCGAGAATAAATCTGAACCAACCGTTAGACCCATTGGAAAGTTCTAAGGCAGCTGAATCGGACCAAACATATAAACAGTCACGTCCTCGACAGATACTCCATTCATGCCAATGATAGGCCTTGCCTTGTAAAATTTCTTTTGCATCATCCATGGTGTCTTCTGTAGAAAATCGAAAAGGTAAAATAAACACATATTTTATATATATATATATATAATTACCTGTTTGAGCTTGTTGTTGCCCTGAAGCTACACTGCTTGTCTCATCTGCTGAGGCATTAGTCGTTGCACTGTTTGTAGATGGCTTGGCACTGTCAGCTTCAGTTTCTGATTCCACTAGGGATTGCACTTTTGAAAAGACTCCCAGGCGAGCGAAATGATCCAAAAACTCATCTTGTGTCTTATTCATGAGCTCTTCGATTATTGTAAGTACTACAAGATGACCGTCGTCGTCGTCCTGTAAAGGCAAATTGCAAACAATTGACATTTGAAACGAGAACAGTAGCAATACATACTAAGGAAAATCAAAAAGTAGAACACAAGAATAAGGTTTGCTTTAGGCAAATTAATTGAGTTTTATTGTTGGAGCATAAGTAAAGAACATGTTGGGAAAAACAATTAATGATTGTAAATATATGTTTCATATTAATTGAATACAATTTGTTATTGGCCTGTAATAAATACTTTATTAATTTGACATATATAAATAAAACCGGATGAAATATTTCGTTGGTTTCAGTTCTAAAGAAGGAGCTACAGTTGCTTCTTAACCTTTTCGGGAAGTGCAACAGCTGGGATTTTCAGTGCTTATTTGATTCATAGCTACTGGCTTAAATTGTTATCTCCAGAACAATGAATAAGAAGCTAATCTAAATAACATATACTTTTTGAAGTCAGTTTGGATTTGAAATCAGAAATTTGTCTTTGCGTCATTTGAAACGTGTACTTTGAATAACCCCTTCAATATAAAATCTGTGGTAGAATAAATACATCCAAACATGTTTACGGATTGTGTAGGTATGCTCTTTTATACGATTTCTTCCGTGAATACCGATTACAGGGAATATTTGGAAGACTAATGAAGTCGAATTCAATGAAAGGTCTATAAGAAATTTATGGATATCCATTCAAATCCGAACACGACATATCAAACAACTCCACAATATTGATTTCCAAAAGAATATATATATATATATATGTTAATTCTGCTCCTATTTAGTAACCGATATCAACTTAAATTTGAGACATGAAAACTATGCGTCTTTGTTTGTCCATAGTGTCGTAAAATGTTGCAGAATCTGTTTTCTGTTTTATTGAATAAATTTTATAGAACTGTATTTCAATGTAATATTCGCGGCTGTGTCAAACACAAAATTGGCAAAATTAACAGGTTATATGTATATTTTGTACACTTAATTTTTCCGCTATAGTAAATTAATTTGATTAATGAACTTTTGCTTTATATTGACTGCCAATAGAATGAAAATGTTCACTAATATTCGCATGAGATGTAGTCCATTCGGTGTTATTTTCGAGAAAAAAACTGGCATTTATGTTAGATAAAGACGTATAAACACTTAAATCAGGCTTTCAAGCATTAATAACAAATAAAATTAACATGTATTCATTTCAAACCTATAGAACTATATAGAGCATATAAGGTAGGTGGGGGATTGATGCATTCCGTTATTGTTTCAACTGTTTCTATGCCGATTTTAATGTGGCATACAATAAAAATGCAAAACACTAACATAAAGTTGCCCTGAGCACAATTCATTACCCTATATCCAGTCTTGATTTCTGGCGATGTTATAATGTATCGTGGATCGGATGCCTGTCCGACACCATATCGTACTGGTCTTAACATACCATTACTTGAGGGATACCAAAGCGTTGGCCAACTGTAGCTAATCTAAATGTGTAGTAAGTTTCAAAATAAAACTATTTTTTAGATAATAAAATAAAATTAAAAAACACACACACAAATAAAGGATCGATGAAAATGTTTGATTTTTGATTTTCCTTTTTTGTCTTAAAAGCGATGCTCTGGCGAATGATATTTATATTGAAATCAAATACATTGTATAACTAACCTCATTGTCGAGAACACTGGCCACAACTTCCACTAGAAGTGTTCCCAAATTACAGTTCGTGCCAATTGGAGGCACTGCTGCATCAGCGGATAATGTATCGGGTTGAGAATTACATAGGCCTTTAAGGACTTGTGGATTTGCATACTGAACCATCTTTTTAATTAAACCCAAACTGGCTCGGCGAACACTGCTCAGCATCGTGCCTTGGAAAGTACGACAAAACATTGGCAAAAACAGTTTAAGATAAACTGGAGCCATCTCTGGATCTCCACGAGGCTCGATTGGAGCGTTATCGTCTGAGCCTTCCTTATTGACCAAACTATGTCCGGCAGCCATCCATTCACCTGGTGATTGTAAAATCGCAGCAACTTCACGATGTCCATCATCATTGCGTTCTCTTGCCTTATCAAGGGGCGTTTTTCCATCTTCATCACGCAAGTCAGGATACGCACCATATTTAAGTAGGACTTTTGCTATTCCTGGGCGTCCAAAGCATGCGGCATAGTGCAGGGAAGAGCTGCGTTGACCCTTGTTTACGTCTGCTCCCTTTTCGCACAGATATTCAACCATTTCCAATGTACCAAAGGCCGAAGCCCAGTTTAACAATGTTTGCCCAACATCGTCCATGCAATTGACGTCTATGCCACCAGATTCTATAGCCTCCTGCAAGGCTTCAGTGTCTTTAGAACGTATGCAATCGATTAATTGACGATGTGTTCGTTCTACAGTGGAATCACTTCGCCGTGTACGAGAGGCCAATTGGCCACCTTGCGCAGCGCTGACACGGTTTAGAGCTTGACGGCCTTCAAAAAGAAGTAAAAGTAACAGGTCCGCCAACCTCATACAATCTAAAACGCATCGTTCGTCTCCTTTAAGAGCTCTTTCGATAGCATCTGGTAGTTGGGAGCGTAATAGATCATGCGTAATTGATGACGAACCGCGACAAAGTGTTGATAAAAGGGAAATCGTTGTTGATATCGATTGTGATGAACGACTTGCATCGCCAGTTTGTGTTTTTTGGACAGATGTTGTGACGGAAGGCGTTACTGCTTCTCCGTGTCCACCTGAAGCCGATGAACCAGCTGTTGTCGGTGTTGTAGCATTCGGAACGTTCAAACTAGTATTTGCAACAGGGCCCGCCGCATTACTTAAGCGTTTAAGTAGCTCATTCACTAACCCATACTCAGCTAATGGCGCGGGATCAACCCACTTGCGTGTAAAACGATCGGCGACAGAAGCGAAACATTTCAACGCTCCATCCGAAACCATCGGATCCTCATGCTGCAATAGCGTACTGAGGCTTTCAACACAATTTTGGATACAAGGAGTATTCGGCTCTACTTTCGTACACAAACGTGATACAACGGCCATCGAAGAATGTAGTGTATCTTTGTGAACTTGAGAGCCACAATCTCGAATAAACGATAGGACACAATTTAAGCCGCCCCCATCAAATACCGCTCCCGCTTCCCTCGTACATATCAGCTCTAACACCTTGATGCATTGTTCAGCTAAATCACGGGATGTTCTGGATGATAGATCTGCAACTACCAAACGATTGCATATAGCTTTGATAGCTCCATCAATAGCTACAATACGACGAGTACATTCTGCAGACACGTCGAGGTAGTATGTAATGGCACGGGCGGTGACTTCCAAAACATTTTCCGGTGCCAATTCATCAAGGAAAATTTTGCAAAGTGCAGGCAGAAAAGTTCTGGGTGGACAACTGCAATAGAAAAAAAGATAAGCATATCGTAATATATTAAAAGTCTACAAGTCCGTTATAAGCACAATTACCAACCTTTCAAAACATCTATCCACATTGTCAGACATCAACAAAAGCATACACAATTGTTCCAAAGCAATCAATTGCATGTCACGCTCATCGCCCTGTCCCATTGACAGCCATTCCAAGAGGGTTTCAGGATCAACGTCCCCCATCTAAGTATAAATAAACGAATAGAAAATTGTATAATTTGTATTAATATTAAAACAAAGCTTTGTCCAGAAGTAAACTGACCATACATCTAAACAGTCAATTTTGAATTTCCTGTCTCTTTTGTTTTACAAATTTATTGAGAATTTGAAACTTAAATTACCTTTATGTATTTTCTGCTCTCCTTCTTGCAGTAGACGCGTTATGGTAAAAATCTACCTCGATTTTCGTTTAATCTGTAAAAGAAAATATTGTTTTATTAAATTCCGTTGCATAATTAAAATGATTTATTATTTGAAGGATATAATTAAAATAACTTCTTAACATAAACATATGCCCGAACTTCCGTCTGTATATATGAATTATTGTCATTATTTTTATTAATTTCAAAGCCTAGACATAAGGCCTTTTATGACCAGTATACTACAATACAAATATATTTATATATTTAACCAATATTATTACTATGCATATATTATTTACATAAGTTAAAGCTATAGATAAAGCTTTCATATAAATATTTCTCCTGTTTCAAGTAATTGGTTCGTCAATTACGCTACAGTTGTCCGAATATATCCGAGAAATTGGGTAAATATTCTGAACTTAAATAATCTCACGTCCCAACAGAAAAAAATACTGAACGAAGTACAAATCTACGGGAGAAGTTTCTATGCAGATCGTTATATTTGGGGACGCCAGTAATATGTGGCACTGTTATTTGTTATTCTTATTGCTCTAGCAATATCTAGAAGAAAAGAAAATCGATGTTTATTTTAAGATGGATAGATATCAGAAGATTAAACTTTTGAATGCAATTAAAATAAAAAATGCGTATACAGCAATCATTTTATAAACAAGATAAAAATTAAAACTTCCTAAAACGTGTATGGAAACACTTAATTTAAAAAGAATTAATAAATATATACATTTTCGTTTTGCGAAAATACAATAAGTGCGATTTTTATAAACATTGAACATAAAATATCTCTATGTGTATTTTCAATTCAATATCCAAACAAGTATCCGCCCATATCCAGGACTAATATTCTCAACGCATGTGTCGCATCATTTTCCGCGCTCTACATGATTGCAGTTTTACCAATCGTTAAAAAAAATCTATGGGCATTTTGTTGAATGTCTCACTCGTTGATTGGTAGATATTTATCACAGTTTTTATAAAAAACCAACAAAACTAACTCAATATACAGTGGTGGTCACAGAATTAAAACATTTACTGTAGTAAACTTTTTTTGATCAGCCCTCGATTCGTTTGAAGTATTTTGGAAATTTTTATAATTCAGAACACTTTGATATACTGCACTTAAGAGATTTAGTGCGAAAATAGAAAATTATTGCATGAAATTTTCCATTAATAACGGGTTTTATGCATGATTTTGAATAATTAAAACATTGTGTGATTTTTTGCTTTACATTTTTTGAAAAAAAATTTTAACGAGTTTTATTTAGTTAAATTATGTACATCATTTACAGATAAAAATATCTGAAAAAAATCTGTAAAATCTATCAAAATTGCCAAAAAAATTGTACAGTACACGTAACGTTCAGAAAACACCCTTATTATAGATAATAAAGGTCCGAATGCACTAGAGATTGCTAGAATTAGTAAAAAACAATTAATAATTCTCAAAATGAATAAATATTTGAAATAAAAACTCAAAAAATGGGAATTAACCTAAAGGAACGATTCAATTTCAATAGCCTTTACTAAAGAAGGCCGGAATATTTTTGCAGTATCTATATCATTGATATTGGTATTTATTATATCAAATTTATTCGAGTTTACAAAAAATATATTTAACCTAAATTACACAGAGCTCTGTACAATTACGTGTACTGTACAATTTTTTTTGGCAATTTTGATAGATTTTACAGATTTTTGCAGATATTTTTATCTGAAAAATCACACAAGTTTTAATTTAACTAAATTAAAGAGCTCTTTAAAATTTTTTTTTCAAAAAATGCAGTAAAGTAAAAAATCACACAATGTTTTAATTATATGGCCACTTCAAAATCGATGTATTTTCATGCAATAATTTTCTATTTTCGCACTAAATCTCTTAAGTGCAGTATATCGAAGTGTTCTGAATTAAAAAAAAATTCAAAAATACTCCAAACGAATGGAGGGCTGATCAAAAAATGTTTACCATAGTAAATGTTTTAATTCTGTGACCACCACTGTAAATCTCTGTTTCCTGACAGTTGAATTTAAGTGGATTATGTTTTATTTGTTGAAATAATTAGTGCCGATATTTTCTTTAGACCTCCCATTTTTCTGATTTCAAACATATGTCCATGTAAACATGTATTTTTGTATTAAAAATTCAGGACTCATTTATTATCCAATTCCGTTGAAAGTACACAAAACAAATAATTAATGTAATACAGTCGAAGACAAAGTTTAAGCTGCATTTTTATTAATAACTTATTTTACAGCTTATACCACAAATATAGTAGGGTAAACGCACTTAATTGCGGCATGAACCAATAGTCGGCATCTGTTTTATGTAACTTCAATTAACTAAAGAACATACAGAAAAACACTTTAAAATTTAAAATCATTCAAAAATATTTGTAATTATGATATATTTATCGATTCCGCCCTTAGGAACAACAATTTTTGAGTTTTTCCTATAGTCGGCATATGGGTGAATAATAAGCAACTTTTCGATCATTTTGTGTTAAAATTGGAAAACATGTTAAATAAGTGCTCTAAATAACGATTAATTTATAAAAATTAGTTTTGAGTGGTTTTACATAATGGAAGACTTGGTTTTAATTTTAAATTTTGTTAACCTCTGAAATGCCTAATTTATCCATGTCGAGAATTGGGTAAAAGGTTCCATGTTTTATAATTATAATATTTTAATAAATAAAATTATTTTATATATTTTTTTATTACAACGCTGATGGGAACGTCCGATAATGATAATTTATTAATGAACATATCAGAAACATTAATTAAATAAATAATAAAAATAAATAATAAAACATTTACATGAATGATCTTCGCCCTAAAAAGGCATAAAAACAAAACTAAATAATTTTTGTTTAACTAAAATACGACATTCCGGCTATTGGAACATGACATGCCGACTATTGGCGCAAAGACACTGCTTTACCTAATTATCAATTTAATCCACTTTAATACGCTATATAACATATATATTTAATCTACTTTGAACACTATATAACATAAATAAAATAACGAAAAAAGCCCAAAGTCTAATTCACATTCCAATGCATTCCTCACAAAAAATAATAAGATATGTACATATTAATTTACGACAAACGCTTTATTTTTTGTAACCAATACAATAGTTCGTTTAATAAAAGGTGCATGCATCGACTTAATCTGTTCGGATGTAGCATAGTGCCACAATAATATTCAATCTATACTCACTAAATGCAAACAAAATTAAGGAAGGATTGATTTATTTATTTCTGTGAAAGAACAAATATATGTCCATACTACACACACATATATATATATATATATATCGCTGTATAATATACACCATCGACAAAAACAATTAAATGACAAAAGCGAATACAACAACGTTGACGTGTACACAGTAATTAACACAAAAACATAAAACCGCTGAAAAGAAAATAACGACGAAAATAACAATTTGTATCATAGGCATCTATGAACATCGATATCACGGTAGCGCTGGTTTAACCCACAATAAGGGCCAAATTAATTTAATACATTTCTTTTGGATAATCTCAATTTCAAACATCAATTATTTAGGTATTGAATATATGAAAAGTGTATTTTTTTAGAAAACGAAGTGATAGGACATTGATCATATAAGGCGCAAAAATAAGTACCTGGTGCATTAAGTCATTAGAAATTTTACCCGACATGACACAACAAGGCACTTGGCGACATAATCACCCATATGTCCTTCCTTTTAACTGTTGATTCGCCTCTATTGATTATCGCTTGTGATAAAAAAATATATTTCTTGTAAAACAATGAAACTTTCTACAATGCGCAACCTAGCAACCTACAAAAGCCAAAGAAAGAAAAAATAAAAAAACATGACAGCAGCAAACTACTAACAACTCGAGGGGGGACAGACACACACCAAGCATAACACGAACACAAACATTAACCCAACGAACCAAACAAGCAACCAACCATAAGAAAGTGTACAAAATGTAAATGGTTGGTGTTTTCGTCGTCGCACGACGAGCCACCATCGGTCAAAGAAGACGGGGGCAAGTTACATGGTCCCAACACAATTCTCTTTAGATTTCCCATAATAATTTTTAATAATTGTAATTGTTTATTAGCAAAAGAAGACATTGCGTTTGCAAATACTGGCAATCGAATCAACTTGTTGTGTAATTCAGGTGTACAAACATCGATTTCTTCAAACAGAAACAGAAAGCAGTTCAGTTCATCGCATTCAATAAAAAGAACGAACATTATCCACCAATAATTCACAAAAAAAAACTATGATGAAAATATTGTTTCAGGCAATGATTGACACATCGCGAGACATTTTTCTTCAACAAATGCCCAATATGGACAACTTACCAAACTATTATTGTAATTGTAACATTTTCCTTGTTAATATTCAATTTTTTTCTCAATCGCAATAACGCAAAAAAGAAAATGTGTAATAATGACAATTTTTCTTATGTGGCCGTCACTTTAGCTCACAATAATGGCGAGGAATTTTCCGTTTTATTCATAAAAAAAACTCTTTCTTTCGACAATAAGCTTTTGATTTTTCTAGAAAATCAATGTGAAGCACACGCTTTCCCCGTTTATATTTTATTTCGTCAATATTTCTCAAAACTTCAAATTGGAAAATTTTCTTTCCTAAAATCACAAAATTCTTTATTCACTGCAACGTTGCTCGTGACCGTAGCAACACCACCACAGTTGCTCTATTACAGTACACAATGAAGAAAGTGAATTGCAATAGCTACAGATAAATAATAAATCATTCACGGTAGAGAATACAATTCT